CTTGCTGTATAAATGTTGATACAAACAGCTGGAAAAGTTTATAAAGTTAATGTTGCTAACATAATAACTTTTTAAAGTTAGTTTGCATTCTGAGTACTGTTTATACTGGACTTGGTATAGCTCCAAAAGCTCTGCTTAAACTCTGAAAAACTGGCATTGTATGTTTCTGAAAACAGCCCTGGGTTTTAACAGTGACAGAGGACGCTTTAGTGGAATGAGTTCATGTATCCCTGAGAAATTGGACCCAGGAAGTCAAGCTTGAGTGACAGATAAATATGTTTGAAAGCTTATCTGACTCCAAAACTTCAGTACAATGGTTGTTGCACTCAGACTGGATTTGAAAACACTTGAAATGTTTCGACGGCAGTAGTTAAAATGAATGAGGAGCTGCATTTTTTCAAGCAGGGTTACAGTCCCCATGCTTCTGTTTGTGTTTTAAATGGTACAGGGCTGAACTGAGTTGCTTAGAAATTCAACTATACGTTTCCATTCTCTCAAATGATGGTAACACTTCAGTTTGATTGTATTTCTAAACCAGCAGTCCTGTGCAGTTCAGACTCACAAACTTGGCTTGTTTCTTCCAATAGTGAAAAGTTTCACATAATGTGATACTGTGATTTAAAGGGTGTGCAAATTATAATCTCCTACTGTCTCCAACCATCTCTCTTTCTCACACAGTTTCTATGTCCCCCCTTTCTCTCCACATGCACACACCATCTTTCTATTATTGGAATACTGTCACGGAAACACACACTGTGTTGTAATATAATGCTGTAGTTTGATCCAGACCTCCCATTCATTTGTTTAGCTATAAAGGTCTATGAAGTTGATATGTGTTTACATATTTGTTCACCCCTTCACTCTTTTCCAGTAACTATGGCCGCTGGCTTGACTTGTATATGCCTGCTTGCATGTGCGTGTGTGCGTGTGTGCGTGTGTGTGTGTGTGTGTGTGTGTGTGTGTGTGTGTGTGTGTGTGTGTGTGTTCATCCCATTGCTGAATTACACAACTCTTTCCACCCTGGGTCCTGAGAACTGGTCTGATGTGACCTGATGATTTTATTGCTGCAACAGTCTTTTTGAGGAAACTCGCGCTCTCTCTCTCTCTCTCTCTCTCTCTCTCTCTCACACACACACACACACACACACACACACACACATACATGCACACACGTACTTTCCCCCCCTCTCTCTTTTTTTTCTCCCTCCACATCTGTTAATCTGCTCAGGGAATAGCAGCAGACAGAGTTTTCCAAACCTCTGTGCATTTACGTGTCGTGCAATTCATCATTGGTAAATTCTGGACGAGCACAAGTTCTGCGAAAGCCAAACTCCAATGCAGAAACGGACCCTGAACTCAAATCAGATTATGGTTTGCTCATCCAGTAGCTGGGGCTAGAAAATGGTTTATTGCAGGACTGGGGTTGAGGAGTTTGAATAAATTAGGTTCTCATCTGTGTCCTCAAATGATTTTTCTGTTTGTTTATGTAATGACAAAAAATTCATAAACTCAGCAGAATTGAGCTACCTTTATTTACATTTACAAATATTTCCAATAATTCAAAAAGATCTTTTAAAAAAAATTGGCGGCAATTTTTATGACATAATAAAAATTCAACCAAGTCCAAGTGCAGTTTTGTCAAATACCTGCATCTCTTCAGATTGGCACTATCAATGTGGTTCCCAATGAAAGAGAACATTTTTGTTTGTGAAGTATTATTCAAACTGGGTAGAACAACCTCACCAAAAGTTACGTCACCCAGCCCCATTGAGTCTTTTTGATGAAACAGGCTCCCACCATGGTTTGTTTTCCAAACACGACTGGATGTTTTTAACATAATCAGGGTGGAAAGATGTTAAACAGTGGCGCCCCCGCCAGGTATCCCATGATGCTTTTTCAGTCGTGTTGCATGCAAGTGTATCCTAGTGTGCACACTCAGGTTGCATTGTATTACAAAATCAAAGTGTATCCCTCACTGCTTTCCGAGCTTTGATAGTGTAGACAGATGGCTGTTTTGACTGTTTTTCAGGTTGAAAAGAGATGATAGAACATGTTAAAACTGAAATGACCAAAATATGAAACAGATTTTTTTATATGGCTGTTGAACTCTGTTGAATGCCAATATACAATCACACCAGTGGACATGTCAGGGTAACTATAACCTCATGACTGAGGCCAGCCATCCCTCATAGCTGCACTACCAAGGCCATTAACCATTTTGCTTATTGATCCCATTCTTGAGTGACCCCCTGGTCGATTCCTGTGGATGTTCTATGTAGAAATCAGCAGGTTTTCAATGTCAACCACACAAATTTTGGAACAAGCTTTGATAACGTCACTGCTATTCTGAGATGGGGGGTTTGGCTTCAAACTGGACCTGTACAGATCAGCTTATTGCAGATACAGCCTCTGATCGGTCAACAGGTTAAAACTAAGATAGCAGCCAGTAACAGAAATAACACTGAAAATCTATATATAAATTCTGACAGATTATCTTCATTATGGAGACATTGTATTCGTACAGTCTCTGGAAACATATAGATGTTCTCTGCGGGATAGATTTGATCCTGGATGTTGCAGAAACACAGAGTTAATAACCACAGAGTCACCAGTTTAACAGTCAGTGCATCAAAAATGGAAAAAGTATTTTTCACGTTTGTGTCACTGTATCCACAGTATCAATAAATAAGTTAAATGAACATACAGGAAAAGAGAAGTGAGCATAAGGCCAATTTGTACTTTGTACAAATTGTATTGAATTAGTGTTTCCCACCAAGATGGGCTACCAGGTTACTGCACATGCATCCAGCTTATCACTGGTGGGAATATTATTTGATTGAGGACAACAGTCTATTCTGGTAAGAGTGTCTTAAAACTTTTCACAGTGAATTTTGTAATAGTGTACCAAAAAACATTTAGCACATCTCTGACAATGTAAACAGAGCGAATAGTGGTAGGATATGAAGTCATTCTGAACAGGTACGCTGCCTGACTTTCACCACACACTAAACGTGAGTAAAATCATGTGCGCGACTGAATTACATGTTAAGTGGATGCTAAGACGCGATTAGACGCTTCTACTACTCTGGCAGCACGAATGACGAAAATTGGGCAGGAGCTGAAAATGTCTCAATTTGAGACGGATATTATTATTATTATTAATAATAATAATAATAATAATAATAATAATAATAATAATAATAATAATAATAACAGTAATTTTTTAAAAATTAGTCTGTAAACATTTGTACCAAAAAATAAATCTTTCAATCTCATCTTATTTTCAGACTGATAGGGCGCCTCTCACACCTTGTCTTATTCAAAGCCTTTTGCCCACTCAAAACATTTTTGATACTGTTTTTGCAATACTCATATATTTATTTCAGCAGTTTTATTGAAAATATCCCCCTCCATTGCAACTAGTATTGCTGCCACATAAAAAAGCATCTTAAACCCAGTCTTCTTCATTGTATTTAATGTCCTGACAGAACTTTACAAAGAATATTAGAACAACCACTCTCACACTTAATGAGCATGTCTCACCACTTGAGATTAAGCATCAGTATAGTTGTCAGTTAATCACTGTCAGTAGTTATTCCAATGTGGCCATCCACTACAGAGGCCAGAATAACCCCTTGCATGAGTAGCAAAACACAAGCGAAGCCAGTGCCAGTGTTCAGAGAAGCCTCCTACTCCTAACCCCTCAGCCTGCTTCCATTAAAGAAGAATCTAAAGAACAATCGACTGTATTATTTTATTCTCACTGGGAGTTCACCCACTCAGAAAAACACTCAGTTTTGATTTGTTAATAGAGTGAAACAGTGAAAACTAGAAGCACAGAAGTTTTTTTTGTGGTATCATGTGTAAAACAAAACGAAACCTTGCTGAGTTTTATAACTGAGTGTCTCTAGCAGGGAGGAAGTTTAATTAAATGTTACCATGGGACATAACTTGTGCTGCCCTTTTCCAAAAGTATAAAGTCAATCATGCATGGAGCAGGGCTGCTCTTTACCAGAAACGAGTCTTTGTTAGTATAACACTGTCTGCAAAACCACTGAAGCCCTGACCCCTGTTTTTCAGACCTTGTCCTGCGCTCTGTTTTTTGTGCTGCCATCAAGGCCCATCTCTGATTGATCATGACAGCAAACAATAACGGGCACACAGAGAAAGGGAATTCTCTCTGGCTACTTGTCAGTTCATGTTATCTCAACCCAGTGCTCTCCACTCCCCCAACTAGACCCCAAAATCTTAGCAACTGATGCACAAAAATGTACTTGCAGATTCTTCGTAAAGGCTGTATAAAGTTAAAATGATGGCTATGTACAAAAAGTATTTCAGTTTACTAACCTTTTGACAAAAGCCTGCATAAAATGAAAGGCAGAAGCTGAGCAGCTTGAAATGGCAGTGTTGTTATAAAGGTCTATGAGTTTTTCAGCTGTTGTTTTTAAGATGACAAAAACTTTGCTTTTTTTGTCTCGGTAACTCATAAATTAGGTGCAATGAGTTTAAAGTTTTTACATGGTTTCTGTTGAAAATGATAATAAATGATTATCTATTTATGCATTTAGTTTTTAAAGAAATATATAGAAATATATTTTTCAGGTCCATGAGTGGTTTATAATGATTATCAGGTGAAAAAATGGTAGGATAACGACATGTCTGCACATTAATATATACTAAAAATACGAGTAATTACATTTTGCCTGGGAAAGCTGTTAAGCCCCAGTCCATGAGAATGCAAGGTTGAATTTATTAGCTACTCTGAGAGAAAAAAAAAGTGTCTGCAGGAAACAGGTGTGACTGGTGAGACCCAAGCAAGAAAAATTATGTTCATGTGGAACCGACACATAGGGATGAAAAAAGTTACTGTTTAAATGGCATTTCAGCATGGCAGACAATCAGCGGGTAAAACAATCATTGCCTAATTCAGACTTGAATGTTTTAACAGATCCACTACACTTGATGGAGAGATTCTTTAGATGTAAAAAAAATGAATCAAACAAGTGTTGCATGTTGTGTTTTAATAATAATCACTATCAACAAGTCAGTCAACAAAATTGCTGCCACATAGGTCACCTTAGTGCCATCTCAAGATGACGCAGACTGGTCGAGTGTCAAACAGTACAGGGATTCATAATCACTTTCCTGACACTGCGAAAACAAAATGAGGTTTTACTGTACATCCAGCCACCATCATGTCATGACTTCCCCCTTCCCTCTTAATTTTTCTGCTTCACTAAGGCTTCACACTGTAAAAGGGCACCAAAACAAACAGAGGCGGAGCAGAGGGAATGAAAGGCTGCAGTGTTATGGGAATTCTAGCGTCCTGACTACACATGTGATTTCTGGGGTGACAGGTGAGTTGGTAGGACAAACAGTTTAAAAGCTTTTCAATTGCCAGTTACAAGTGTTCAGATCTAACTTTATTTTTGGATAAAATAGCGATATTTATACAATGGGTCAAACTTGTTTTGGGGGTTTCACTTTTGGACCCGAAGGGAAGGAGGGGAAATGTAACCACTATTCAACAATAAAAGGTTTCTCCTGCAGATAGGAAAGATACACATCTACTTTATGTCCCAGTTAGTGAAACAGCCCCTATATGAAAAGTTGTATAACAGACCAAATCTGCTACTAATGTAAAAGAAATCTCATAAAAACCTGTTGCATAACATGTGCTCCTTTTCCAGCATATTCTTTGATGTCCCAAGAATAATTTGAATCTGTTCAGGATGAGGACTTCAAGTGAATGGCAGTGTGCTTTTGGCTAGTTTCCATCACAGTTCTTCACTTCCTCACAGGACCTCTTATTCTTTCTTCTCCTTCTTTCTCCTTCTTTTTCTCCTCTTCTTCCTCCTCTTCTTCTTCTTCCGCCATCCGTTCAAATACATTGATGCACTCAAAAACAGGGGGCACTGCTGCTGGCTGGCCAAGAGAAAAAAAAAACGCCTTGGCTCAAGTTTTCTGTTCATTTACTTTCCATTGCAAATCCAACAGGCATTCTCTCTGCTCTCCTTTTCCCCGACCACAGCTATGGCTTTGGGTACAGCAGCAAGTCTGTCTTTTCTCCTCTTGTGTTTGAAGTTAGTGTCCACTGTCTGAAGGGAAGTTCAGGGTAAAATCTAGACAGGGATGACCATTCAAGAGAGCATGATTGATATTTGTGACGTGACAATATCATCCCAATGCAAGAAACTGAAATGGTACAGTTCACATTTCTGAAATATTGGCCAAGTCCTGAACCAAAACATTCAACTCAAAGTGAGTCTCTCTCTGTCAGTGTTCAGAAATATCTCCTGGATGTTTTTGTCTTTTTGCTGTTAAGTTTTAGGAGTGCTTTGTCAACCCTTCAAAATCTGGAATAATATTTCTAAGATCATGTTTGATCACAAAATAAAGTTTGACTGGGATTGGACATTTTCAAGATGAAAATAACTACCTGTCATCCAGAACTGACTAAAAGTGGGAAGGAAAAACACAATAACAAAAAAAAGGAATAAAAAACATGATGACCTCAAGTTCCAAAGAAAAATCTGCATCCTAACAATAAATGACCTCCAGAGTGGTTCAGATCAAAGCCATACGGCTACAGGGTCAGTTTACATATTTGTCACAGCTAAGAGTCCAAAAAGTCAATCAGCATGAGTTTCATCAGTACCTTGTAAAATCCAGCCATTCTACCTTGACTTTAATTCTTTTCCTCAGCTACATTTGCAGGACTTGACAATCATGTTGGAGAGTTGCTCCACTTTGGGGGTTCGTCCAGAGTAGTAGAGTATAGTGAGGGGTTCGAGGTCTTGGGGGACGCAGCAAGGGGAGGCTGATGCCTCCGGGTTCAGAGTGTTGTACAGGCTCAGCAACTGGTGGAAAGCACACATCAGACTTACTTTAAAATAAAATTCACAGTTCTGTTTTCCACTGTTACATATAAATGGTCAAATGAGGGACGTAAGTTTGTTAACCCTCCACCTGTGTTAGGGTCTGCACAAACTGTTTTTTGATTTTAAATGCTTAAAAGAACCAATAAAATTAGCTTTTTTGCATCAAGACTTTTTGACTCTGTCAGGAATCTTTATTTCAACAACATAAAAATAAAAAAATTAATTGACTAAATTGTAAAATGCTCTTTTTAAAATTATGGCACTTGTCGTGTTAGGGTTGCTGTTGACCTGGTTAGATTAAAAAACAATAATTAGAGCAAAAACTGAAATCATAAGTGCACTAGCAAGCACCACACTGACAGTCAGATCCTCTTCCAATCATGTGAGACTTAGGAAATTCTTCCTGCACAAAAAACAACGTTGGGCATTTCCAGACATGTGAGATCAATTCAGTATGGATGTCTGTGTGAGGGGTATACTGACAAAGAAAGGCCCAGAAGCCCACTATAAAAATATTACAAACAATATTTTCATGGATAATGAAGCCTAACAAGGTAACCGAGAGATGAGAACCAAATTGGATGATAGGGAATTGTTTTTAGTGTAATATACAGCTGATTTAAGACACAGATCAAAACCGACCCTTAACATAGTGGGTGCATAATAAAAGCTTTCACAGGAGGAAGGTTAATTTGCTTTTAGTTGGATGGTTGTGGTACCTCCATTTTTTCTTTTTTTTTTTCTTTTTGCAATTAATACAACACTGATAAATAATATTTCTTATATTTTAAAAAATTGCTGCTCACAGTCAACAAAATGTTTGTCTGAAAGCATTATGAACTTAGCAATAAAGTGGATATGTGGGTTATGAACCAAAACAGGTTAAAAGAAATATCAACTTGGACTGTCTTCATCAATTGAATAGAGCCACTGAAACATCACCAACATATGGTTGACCAAAATCTGAACAGGGCTGCTCATTATATACTAGTCCAATAAATAATCAGCCTGTAATGCTAATACTTCACTTCTGAAAATTATTCTAATGATGTATTTTATCAGATAAAACCCCAGATAAAAGCTGTTTTACATTTACATGTCTATACATTATGACACAACATGCAGTGCTATTCAAAATGCAACTTAGCCCAGAGTGAAAGTGTGAGCCATGCCTCAACATGACAGAGAAAAAATTGTATGTGTAATAACAGGATTGCTACTCCCAAAATATGTGTTGCGGTCAGTGGCGATTGCTTGAAGACTGCAAAGGAAGCTCAGCTTCCCCTAAAATGTGTATGAAAAAAAAGTGGTGAATATGTACTGCTGTGTGTAAACTTTGTTGACTAAAAATGCGCTAGAACATCTTTTGTTCAGAATCAGCTACTTATCACAGGAAACCGACACGACTTTCTTCTTTAAACAGTTGGACGCTGAGCATCTACTAACTTCAATGGGGAAGTGTAGCGTGGGTTGTCCCACTTCGCATAACTGGACGGTCATTGGATAAATGCTGGGCTTTGTCCCGCCCACGGATGCTCATTGTCTCTGGGGGTCTATGGGGCAATGGGCTGGCCCATAGGCTCGGCTTCTGCATGATTGGATGATTTGTCTAAGGCGTACACTCTTTTGGATTGACAGCGAAATGAGTGAATCAGAGATCTTAAAGTATAACCATCCACTGGAGCATTTTCCAAGTTTTCTAGTGTCTAGTGTCCAGCCCTTGAAGTTTCCATTTCTTCGAAAGCTTGACACCTTGGCTGGAAGTCCTCTGTTGCTGACTGCTGGTTGCACTGGAAGCTCTGAAATGCTGGCCATTGCTCTCAAAGGCTATAATGCTGTCAGACTGCTTTACTGCACACAGCTGAGGTGCAAGTAAACATAACATCTTTGACTACAAATGAAAACTATAACACATCTGACACAAAATCATGTCTCACACTTCCAGATTTTGCCTTTTTATGCAGAGAGATTCTACTGATCCTTTGACCACTTTATATTTACAAGTACAGTTAGGTCAAGCTACAGTCATAGCTCCATTTGATTTGAATTATTGACATAAGCATGTATGCCCATGCTACAGTAGGTGGCAATATGCCCCCTTACAGCTTGTTACTATTGGGTCGTTTATTGGGAGACCTGTCACAAATTAATACAATTTACAAATCTTCATATGACATTTTTCTGATGCTACAGGACATATCGTGAGAAAAATAAGTGCAAGATATCATTTCTGCAGGCAAATCGTTGTAAATCTCTGGCAGACCCAAACTGCAGGCTCTGAAACAGTGAGAATTTTTATGTAGCAAATCTAAGCTCCGCCCCCAGAGCCCCACTATGCAGGTCACACTCGAAAAAGGAGAGAGGACGATCGCAGAACAAGCATGTGTGTTAGCGAATTGCAATGCTCGTAAAAAAGCTAATTATGATATTAGCTTTCATCATGTCTCCAAAGACATAAGTGTCTGAGAGCTGCTGTGTTACCAGCCACTTCAACTACACCGGCAATGTTCAGCTGAAAGCTAGCAAGAAGAGGAGTGTGCAGAGCAGCACTGTCTCCGCCCACGACTCAGAGGCGAATTGCTAATGAGCTACTGGAGCTCTGCAGGAGAAAAGCCCTTGAAAATGACACATGTAATGTGATTTTGGCTAAAAACTTTATAATCTCAATTTAAAGACCACTGAGAACACTTTAAATAGAAAATTATCAGATTGGGACTTAAACAGGATGTATGCCGAACAATGACAGCACAATCACTTTTACAGCTCTGTGACATTTGTTTGTACAATAGGAAAGTTTTACATTTTTATGTCCTTTCTTCGTCTGTCCAGGTTTTTTTTTACTACCCAGCTTCCAAGGAACACATTTGTGCTTTTTAACTTCCATCTCAAAGCCCATCCTGGAACATCAGAGCATTTGCAATAGGTCTGAGCTGTATATGTGACAGAGAAAATTGTTGCCCAACTGTGTTTTTGTAGGTATGTTATCTGACAACAAGAAGTTCAATTTTACATGTTTTTAAAAGACCAGTTCCAGTCACACTACAGCAATAAACAGTTTTTTTAACAACATGTAAACAAACTGACTTTGGTGACGTCTTTGTATTGACATTACTTTAGTCCTGTTAGCGCCTGTGAGTGCTGGCAGGGGTGAAAATAACATAAAACTATAAGCTTCCTTATGCATTAAGTTATGTTGAGAATGAAAGGTTCCTTTTTATAGTTTTAGATTCCACTACAGGAGGAAAACAGATAACACTCCTGTTTCATATTCCTGTTAAAGCGTTCTTACCGAGCTGTGTGTTGTATCTGAGCTCCTCAGATAAGGGCAGGGCCCAGAGCAGTAGTTGGCATCGTACCCACTGGGCTCATGGATCCACTTCCAGTCCAAGTCACGTCTGAAATCAATGTGGAGTTTACGAACACAGCAGCTCTCTTCTGTGGTTCTGTGGGACAACACAAGACGAGCGTATGAGGCCCAGGGTTTTTTTTTTAATCAAACAATGGTCAATGGTGTAGCTAAGTTGTTTTGGCAGAATATATTTTAGACTTTACATGCATCAGGTTCAATTCCAATAAGCTCAAAACACATTACAGCAAGTTCACAGACAAATTTCTAAAAATTTGACAACCTCTCCTAAAGATGATTTATGTCTTACGAGAAACAGTAGTTTGTGTCCAAAGCTCTCTTGCGTCGGCGTGAGGACTGATTCTCAAGGCGGTGTGGTGGGATCATCATGAGGATAAGGTGTGGTCGAAACTGGTCCTTCTTTTTGTTCAGGTGATCCAGATCCAGGCGCTTGTACTCCTCTTCTCCGTCCATGCCTTAATTATAGACACAGCTGAGTTGTACTTAAAACCAATAATTAAGTGGCTTTTTGTTTTGTAATTCACTCATTTTGAGTATACAATTTACAAAATTATTGACTATGTAGCTGTGATCCCTGTAATTCTGTAACACAATGTAGAAATTAACACTCAAAAAAGGAAAAACCGCCTCCTTGTCTGACACATCAGAGTTTATTCTTAGCAAAGCTAACCCAGGCTACTGTTTGATTTCACTCTAAACTTAGAGAAGACGCTTTAAGACGAAAACACTTGAACAGACACAGCATTAAAACAGCATAACAAAAACTTTGTCATAAATAAGAATACAGCAAAATGATGCTAAAGCCCACCTTTAAACTTCACCTCCAGCACCTCACTCTCATTGTCAATGATGACGCCATTCAGGTTAAAGGTGTGACAGGGACAGTGCACGCTGATCTCCAAACCTAGGTTACTTCCTGACAGGGGACAGTTTTGGAAAAGACGCCCAAGTCAATATGTATTCAAATTTAAACATGCTTTAAAACTTAAAAACTTGTAGGAGAGGTGCAGTTCTCATTCCTGAATCCAAACATGGAATAATTCTAGGTATTAATGATTTTAGGACATGATGCCTCACCTCTATTCATCAGCCATTCTCTCACTGTTTCAGTCACATCGAAGGAGACCCACTCAGGAGTTCCTTTGGTCAACACGTTCTTGGCTCCAATGTAGCGTTGTTTCCTGATGTGTTCATTTGGCTTCACAATCTGTAAGATGATGACAAAGATTCACTGTGAACATTTTTTTTCTTCATGCTTAAACTAAATTTACCAAAATATTATGAGAAATAAAGCAGATATGCGGCAGGACGTAAGTGGGTGAACTGTTCTTTGTCAAATTTATGCCTCATTGTTTTTAATATCCAATCCACTGACTTGTAATGACTCATACCAGCTAAAATAAATGAATCATGAGAGCATAAAAACTGATGAAATGGGGTGCCAGTTGTATAGTCCTCATTCCAAGGGAGGCTAATTCAATGTCCTGGTTACGACCCTTTGCTGCATTTCCTCCCCCACTCTCTGCTCCTCACATTTCCTGTCTGTCTTCTGCTGTCCTATCAAATAAGGCAGAAATGCCCCAAAACATTCCTTAAAAAAGGCAACACCTATGACACAAGAAGAAAACTAAAAACAGAACTAAAGCACATTTGTGTTTGACTTGAAAGGGTGACTAAAATAAGTCTAAGAGAGAGATGGAGCTGGTGACATCATAAAAATGAAATTGATATCAGTGATTTTATCGTGAATACATTCTTTGGTTGACTTGCTCTTATGCACATTCATGTTTCCCATGTAATTGAGTGATAATATGTACAGTGTTATTGATTTGTTATGAAGGTGTGGGTTTTTATCTTGCTGTGCAGCACTTTGGAAACCTTGTGTTTGTTTAAATCGTGCTATATAAATAAAATGGATTGGATTGGATATGATGTTATGGATAACAAACAGGGCTGATTGTGTGTTGCTTTATTTTATACCTCAGCAGACCTGAACACCTTTTCATCAATGTTGTGAACTGTTGTGAGGGCGAAATGTTTAAGATCTATGAACAACCAGAACCATATAAGATCATGGATGTTAGTGCTGCACTACCTCTGCCCGGGTTCTGAAAACATTGTGCAAGCCTGTTGAGCTTCTTTGGCTTTTGGTCTGGCTATTATCCATGACTTCAACCACAATCTGATTATTGTTGGCTTTCTTTGTCAATTAGGACGTGAAATCATGTGGAGTAGATCAACTTTCTGCCTTATGTAAGCTATGTCTTTGATTGACTACAATTGAAATATCAGATAACTTCAATATATTGAAGGAAAGACATATTTGAGCCCCTTGTTGCCTTGGCTGGAAGTTTCTTCTTTGATCTTAGTAGAAGTACAAGAAAACGGTACCTTTACGCACCTGGTAGAGCTCAATCCGCTGTTCATTCCTCTTGGCGGTCTGGTTCGGCACCCTTAGAGCACGAAACTCAGCTCTGAAGAGGTTGGTTGAGTTCCTTTCCATGGCGGAGACGTTGAAGCGGAAAACTTTAGAGGTGATGCCTTTTGGGCAGATGAGCAGATCATCTGGAACAGAGAGAATAAAATCTAAGTTTTGACAGAAACCAGACCTTCAAATTCTTATCGGGATCGGATGTAATACAAGCAGTATGTGTCCAAAAACAGACCTCAACAACTACTCCAACTCTGAACAACAAGATCACAATGTTTTGTATCTTCCATCCAAGCGCAATGGCTAAAATGTATATTTTTTCTTATTTTATAAAAAAAAAAAAAAATTAAGGTAAAAACAGGAAAGATGGTAAATTATTTTACAGCAAAACCATCACCCATCAATGTTAACTGTGAGCAAAGTACACTTGAGTACAACTGTCACTGATCTGACATGCCACCAAAAACAGTAAATGCAGGATCTTCAAAAAAAGTACAATTTCTGGTGGTGCTGCTGGATTACATCGGATTGCATAGGTGGGCAAAATATTGTATCCGACCAGTGTGACATCACGTGACACATTGCCGTAATGCTTTTGAATACCGTCTGCTATTTTATGCAGGCGTCATCAAGAAAAGTCCTTAAGTCGGGGATTTGGCTTGTTGCTCTGCCTTTTTCTGTGCATGAATACTTCATATACCTCTGACCTGCCAGAATTAGAATTTGATTGGTCCCAACTTCAAAATCAGTCAACCCAAAAAATTGGCTTCAATTCGGTGTAATTAAAGCCTGTTTCACCTCCAGCTCTTTTTTTTTTTTCAATAATGTTTTTAATGAATCGTTCCACTCGATGCCAGATTTATTTTAGTCACACCATATTTTGCATACAAAGTGCAAGTGCAAGTCCTCAGATTCTCATCAATGGATAACATTTTCATTCACTATCACTTTGTTACAAGTGTGTAAAAAATTCAGCTATACTTTAACATGAAAATAAAGGAATGGATTGACAGTAAGACATTTATTAATAAAAGAAAGAATCATACACTATTTAAGACAATCATCTGGGTTTCCTGTTTCTATTGTGCCTGATACTTCATTTATATGAATGCTGGTTTCCTTGCTTATCAAATGTTTCAGTGTTTCTCTAACACATTTTGTCTATATTTGGTGGGGAGGAAGTGTTGTAATTGAAAGAGCAACATTATTAGGGTTAATATGACTTCAGGCTTCTGGTATCTGTGTATTGGAAAGCCAGCTACTCCTGTGCCACTGACAATTTTTTGGACCCAAACCCCTCTCTGACTATGATGACTCTCCACAACCCGACGTCAGGCATTGACATACGCCAGATTCTCTATGCATGCCATGCTATAAAAGGAAATCTTTCCGATGTTTGCAAACCAGGCTCTCAATGCAGTTCACTGCAGGCCTTTATGGAGCTTTCTTCTTTATTTTCACCTGTCTCAGATGTGTGTTAGTTCACAGAGGTGCCTCATATCTACCAAAGGCCAATGGTTCACCCTCAGAAGCCTTGGTAATGTGTGTCTGTGTTTACCTTTATGATGTTACAGGTTCATGCCTGATGAAGGTCTAGTACTGAAGTGTTGCAAATAAATTTTACCTTTCTTTGCTAGTTGGACAGTGTGCGGGTGTTTCCCTTTGAATTATAGGCTCAGAGAACAGTTTTATGCTGCAAAGACAGACTGCTATTTCTGTTAACCACCAGAGACAACAATCCAAGATGGCAGTGTCTTTGATTAACTCAGAGTCTGTCAAATAGCCAATCTGTTGAATTACTACTCAGTCTCCTGTTTATATCTTGAAGGAATGTTTCAAGTATTAAATGGTATCTTGCCAAGAGCTAGACAAGCCAATTTTAACTAGGTTAGTGAAGCTGCAGCCAGTTAGTTTAGCTTGGCCAAGTCTAGCTGAGCACAATAATTAAAACCTGAGGCCAACAAATAGACTGGCTCCGTCCATAAGAGAAACCTACCAGCACCTGAAGACACATGCCTTTTTATTTTAGTCAAAAAACATTTTGTTGTACTTTTATAAGATTAAGCAGCCAACTAGAGACTGACACTTAAATTTCAGAAGAATGCAAAATAATTATACTACTAATTATTGTCTATTTTTAAACGCTAGTTTGGGCCTGTTTTATTCTGGCACGTTTCCCTTTTGCCTGTTGACACTGTGGCAAAAACTTGAGTTTCCATTTCAGACTGGTTTTAAAAGTTAAGAAATACTTTTGGCCACATCTGCGAAAGCAATCTGAAGAGCTATGTAGTCTCAACCAAATGTCCATGTCTTTAGTTGATGGCTGATTATTGAAAAAATAATGTTTACATTATGTCCTAAACATTGACGTGTAACAAAACTGGATGGGTAGCTGGATAAAAGGAAGGAAGGAAGGAAGGAAGGAAGGAAGGAACAAAGGAACAAAGGAACCAAGAAACCAACACTGGACTAATCTAATCCTAATTTCACCTTGTCTGCAAAGCTTCCCTGACCTCAGAGTAGTAGTTTTCACTCATAGTAGATCATGGTGTTCCTTATAATAGAACTACATTGTATTTGAGCCATAAACAATTTTCATTTTAGGAACCGTAATCTAAGGACTTTAAGAGGGGCATGTAACAATCCGCTATCAGCGATATATGTCTTTATGAAAATATAAAATATTCAAATTGAGTAAAAAATAACCGTACGGTAATACCATAAGTTTATTGTAATGGTCCTTTAGGCTGGCAGCCACACGTCATGAACAGAGGATGGATGAAGAAGCAGCAGAATGCCAGTGAGCTAGCTGACGCATCACAATTTTTGAGCCTGTGCCTCTTTAGGTTACTTATCAACTCAACATTTTCACTTCCTGGCTTTTTTTATTTATTTTCAACAGTTCTGTAACTTGCCTTCTATTGGGAGCAACAGAAACCCATGATAGAAAAAGTATCAAAATAAAAGCACAACAAACAACAGTTAAATGTGACAGTACTTTCTACAATGAAGGGCTTTTGAGAAATCATAAATTTCAATATTTTTAGAAATGGGTGATGACTTCAGAGATATTTGCATTAATGAGTTAAGTTTATGAAGTAATGTGTTGTTCCACCCTCTCCTTGCCTTTCTTAATTTGACTGATTGTGTTGTTTTATTTTGAAGTTTTCTGTTAATATCCGGATAATGTCATTATTGCAACTTTTATTGTCTTTGGATTATCTTTAAAAACACTAGCTGTCACTGCCACAGTAAAATGAGGGTCAAGTGCAGTTCTATAACATAAAACTGCTCCATCATATGAAATACACACTAAGCCGGCTCAGTGAGGCAGTTTAGTGTATGCTTGAGGATATACAGGGTATTTAAAAACGCATACCTCCATGTTTGAGATCATCTTGGACAAATTTAAATCTCTGCCATACCAATGCCAGAGTTATGGGATGAAAATAGTAGAAGTTTGAGAATATTATTAGCTTGTCGACTATTTAAGTATCTGAAAATTACAGATGTTGAATGGGGCAGACACAAATATAAGTAGTAATATGTTAGGGCAGCTGTTACATTTGAGCAAACCACTCAAAGTCAGCTAAAAGACAATAAGAATAATAAAAAAAGGGGCCCTCTAAACTTGTTAGAGCTACATTTATCATCAAATCCAACCCACACACTCAAGACACCTACTGCCTGCTGTTTTTGTCAAAACCCTTTTGTATGATTCAAAACAGAATGTTCCTGAGCTAAAGGGGTCTTTTGAGAAACACCTGTTGATTTCAAAGGGACTGTGATGCAATGGTGTTGGCTTTGCTCTAGACCATGAGGCCCTGTTTGGCTCCTTTACACGCACAGCATTCATCCTATTCTGCTTCTTAAGAAATCCAGACTTACTCCCAGCACATGCTGTATGAATCTCCCTCAAGTGTTGACACATGTCCCTCTCAGCGGAGGTTTTTTCAACCTCTGGTTCAGAACTTTAGTTCAGCAAAATAGTCTTCAAATCCAGGTTTAATATAAATCACTTGGAGTTTTTAAAACAATGTGGGCCTCTGGGTAGTCAAACTGAATATTTAACAGATAAAATAGAGCTTGTTCATACTCAAGTGTTAAATTTTACCTAATGTAATTTGAAAGTAATATAAAAGTAAAGTGTAATTATGCAGATTCGGGGGATGAATAACCTTACAGTGTTACACATAATTTAGTTAATTTAGACCTGAGCAGATCTGTGAGTGATCTCGTGCTTCTAGGCCACTTGTGTGGGTCACTGACCAAAGCTTCCAGTGAAGTGGCTGTAATCACCAGACTTTACACAGACTAGTGTAAAAGTCCTTTTCCTGTTCATCTTAGTTAACTTTTCCCACTTCTTGTCCTAAAGGCATCCCTGTGCTTCTGGGCAGATGTCCCTCTCATCTAGGCCTGACTGGAAAGGAAGCAGGAACATCTGGGGAGAGGGATGAGCTCGATGGAAGAAAAAAACACAGGAGGAGGTAGAGAGAAGTAGGAAGGAGGAGTATAAGAAGGGAGACTTTCTGGGAACACTTGTGAGGGATTGAAACAGGTTAATGAGCTCTGCAGTAACAAAATTCCAAACAAGTTCACCCAACAAAGTACAGCTCAGACAAAAAATTAGGGATATTTAAAATTTCCTTTATATTGAAGTCAGTCCTCAGACATGTTAGTATTTCTACCTCATGGTAAGTCACAACGTCACTGCAGAGTGTCGGTTGTGTAATCAACAAGAGACTACTTTCACATTCATCTGTTGAAACTGGGGTCCGTGGTAATATGTCTACTTGCAAGATGACTGTGGCAGCAACAGTTTTCAGGAAGATGGTCTAACGTGCAAAAGGGATGTGGATCTTATACTATGAAACTGGACATTTGTGTCTAGGAAATAAACTTTTGAGATACGGGTTACTTTTACACAGCAGACTTGTTTCATTATATTCAAACTATGTTTTTAGCGATTAAAAAATGCTACACGAAAACATTAATTCTGCACCAAATGACTAAAACACGTGTGCAAGGGCTCACAAATGTAACAGGAGAAAGAACCAAACCAAGCTCTAACAACTAATATAAATTAAGTGTTTTCGAGCTTTAAGGATCAATGATAAGGACCTTTATCAGTGAAAAAACTCAGCTTTGGTTTTGAGATTGGTGCGTCCGGCTAGCACGGTGCGTAATTACGCGTCGATATTTGAGCCAGCAACTGAACCGTCCAGCTGCTGGCGTGAATATAGTGTCACGGGCCCTAGCGAAATCTGATACTCACTGTTCTCAGGTGGTCCGTAGACCATGTTGAATTTGTAAATCTCCTTGGCATAGTACTCGGTCTCGGTGTTGTCCTGTCCGCAGCTCTGTTGCCGGTCCCTCCTCAGCTCCTCCAGCAGCTCCTTGGTGCTGTTGTACAACGCTTGAATCTGATACGGGATCTTAGTCGGTCCCAGGGAGTGCGGGATGGACGTCAGCCGGAGTTTGCTCAGAATTTGTCCTCGTATCGCTTCTACTCTCTTTCGTTTCACGTGGTCGATGTCCACAGTGGCACAGGTTGACAGAGAGGAGCTTAAAGTCGCGCAGTGGAGGAGAAGGACAAAAAATAAAACTTTTCCTAAATGCATCTTTCTCTTTGCATCTGGTTCACTCGGTAGTCTAAATGATCAGCCGAGGTCAGAGTTGGTATGAAGCCTTCAAATCAAACTGATAAAACCTGCTCTTCTTTATGTTTCCCTCCTCTGGATCTGATGATGAATAACTCCTCACTTAGTTCTTTTTCTTGGAGCAGTCCCCTTTGTCATCAGCAGAAATCCAGGTTTTTGTTTGCCCATTAGACTTCAGTTAGTAAAAGTCCTGCATATCAGACTTTTATCCGGCATAAATATTACTGTAGAAAGAGAAAGACTTGTCTTTACCATTCTCACTCCAGATGACTGAACAGCTCGGCGTTTTTCTCCTCTTCTCTGTCTCATTAAAGTCTCGTGCCGCCGGATGGACTGTACGCAGGCCAACCACAGACTGGTAGGTCACCGAGGTATGAGCGACTTTGAGCGCAGAGTATGGACTCCCATGTTTCTTTATACAGCTCGTATCTGACGTTTGATGGAGGAGGGACCGCAGACACCCGGGAGAGTCCAAATCATAAGAGGGCTAACAGCGACCCGGCAGGCTGCATGTATGATTCAACACACATTTAGATAAGACTGTTGTTGTGTTTTAGGAGCACTGAGATTATTTGAGCTCCAATGCAAAGTTTTTCGATTTGGTATCCTCGGCTTCTTTTCTACGTGTATACAGTGAATTAAAGGTTTTTATATATATTGTTTTTTTTTATGGTTTCGTGTGATGTTACTGTCTATTTGAGGAGCCACTCGATGTTTCCTCTAGTTGTCTACATGTTTGATTATAATGGTCTGGGTCGTGCACCCTCTAGTGGCAGGTTTTGGTACTCGCAGTGGCCCACTTAATTTGAAGACAATTCTCTATCCAAATTGTTGTAATCTTTACTATTGAGCTCATGAATGGAGTTGAGATGTTTGCTGTCTTTTGAAACACAGCAGTACCTTTATTGTCTTCTCAAAGGCTGATTATAGATCGATTCAAAGTCAAACGTTGACCAGTGCATTTGATCTATAGGGGAGAGTGGGGTAAGTTGAGCCAAAGGGTAAGTTGAGCCACCCTCTGTTGCTTGGAAATGATAAAAGAAATTGATCAAATATTTAGGAGATGGGCATCAATTCATGGAGTCTGTGAAGGTTAGAAGCACACGGGTGAAGGGGTTAGACATTTATTTACAAAAAAACATTTTTCACTCTTGAAAGTGAATTTAGTCCGTCATAAGTTTTATATGAATTGTGTTCAGACCAAAAAAGATCTTTTTAAACTAGCATAAAAGTCCACCATTTTAGCTTAGAGGATGAATAAAGTCATAATAATAGTTCAGGGGTAAGTTGAGCCAGTGGCTCAGCTGAAGAAGTAAATGAGTATGATGAGAGGATCAGAGTTACAGTTCAGATTGTTGGAATGTGTTACTTTTTCTTTTCATGGTTAACTTACCCCATACACCGGGTTAGTTAACCATAGGAGACCACTTTTTTTGGCATGCTATATTATCAAGACAGTTATGTTGACACTCATTCTGTTGGTTTGCAGGGATGCACAACATCCTGAAATATATGCAGATACACTAGTTAGAGACCAAACTATGATTGCCTTGATGTAGTGATCTGAAATATGAAAAATGGCTCATCTTACCCCACTCTCTCCTAAGTAAATGTGTGTATCATCACCTTTTTTTAATACAATAGTTCTTCACTGTTTTTGATAAAAGAAATAGTCAGAAATATGCTTTCATCATGATGACAACCATGACAATAGAAGACAAAAGCATTTTTAAAGTTTACACACAAAAAAATCCCACAGAGATAAATCCTGTTTGGTCCTTCCTGTTTGTTCTTAGGGAAAAAAACACAAAATCCATAACCAGTTGTCAGAAGCTGCTCTTAAATTACAGAAACCCTTTCAAACTTGACATCCTAGTGGCATGATTACATTACAGTTTAAAAGACTAAACTTTCTCCTCTGTCAGTACAGATTTTCCCATGCCCTCAGCAAATGACCATCTAACACGAAGCCCTATTTCTCTGCACTGATGTCTGAAGGTTCATTTGGAGGCCCCTGAGTTATTTTATCATTTTGAATTTCACCCTCACTCCGTGGTCTGTTTTATCTCTATTCATAGAGCATATCCACATTCTCAGACCTATTTTAGGTCAAAGCTCACTCAACCACTGGAGGCCCTGTACCCAAACATGGGGTCTGGTATTTCACAATGTTTCTTTTGCCCACTAGTTTGCATAGCAAGAATGATTTCATAGAATGTCCAAACTTGGTAAATATTTGGCTTTGGATCATATCTCCAGGTGCCTGTGTGAGCTAACCAGTGTAGTGTAGTTAGGGATGAATATGAAATATATTTACAGATTTTATATAAAGTAGGTCACTACTTTGAAAATTTACCAGGCTTTTTCTGATGCTGAGTGTAAATGAATGTTTCTTACATGCTCAAGCACCACCTGATCCTTGGAAAAGTCAGATTTATTTCTCTATATTTGAGCGTAATTATTTCCTTGAATTGTCTTTAAGGTGTACAGTTGGATCTTTTAGAGTTGGATAAAGGGCTTGAATTAGCATGTTTTTACACAACATACTATAAATATCAGTTTCTATGAAGCCCCCTTGTGTTACAAACGAACTTTAAAAGCTCTTAACAATCAAGTTACTCTGTATCTATTGTCTTGAGTGCTTGACAGTGCCAGTGCTGCTTTTCCCTTCATTGTTTGGAGCTTGGTTTCCCGTAACATCACGTTTTCTCTGGCTGAGACATCTTCATTCATAACTTTGGCTCAGTGCTTTGTGAGCCATCCAAACCCAAAATGGGAGCTTGAGCAACGGCTGAGACGTCTACAGGGCCATTGTGAAACTATTTTGGGACAAGTACCGAGGTCCTTGGTATCCCTCAGCCACTTCCCCACAGTTCTGCCTGCAGACGTAGCTGTTGCTTATCTCAAGCTTTCAGAATGATTGCAGGGAAGAGTTTAGATAAAGTGTGATTTCATGAAGATATGTTTTGTTCCTTTTTTATTATTATTACTCTGTAAATGGATTTTCCCTCTTATTCATATTTGTTGTCATTTGCTTAACATGTCTAACATGAGCCTGGTTCTTTTCAAGGTTTCTGCCTGCTACTGTTACTTACTTTGCTTATGGTGTATTCATGCTGAGATGACATAAAAGTTTTATATTCTTTGTAAATGATAAAACAAAGAGTGTGGACTTGATCTGCTCCTTTAGTATAGTGTGTTGAAATAATATTAGTCATAACTAGTGTTATATAAATACAGATTGACTGAGATGGAGCAATAGATTAGGTTTAAACCTTACCATTGGTTGGTCACTGACAAAAGACTTTCTCTGTCCTAGCTCCATGTTGCAGATGTTTCTGTCTTATCCCAGATGGTAGTTACTTTAATGTTGGCAGTTCTCCATTAAGCCAGCAGGTGATGCTGCTCAACTAACAATGTCTATATTGAAGCCTGTAAACTGACACCAGAGCAGAGACACTCGAGACTTGAAACGTTGTAGAGGAGCACTGTATATAAAAATACAGGTACATTAAATAGCCACTCCTTTTGAATACATTGAAAAATCTAATGTCAGACAATACAGCTCATCCATATTTACAAAGTTCAGTCTTAAATTACATTGTTTTAAGGTTTTAATTACTGTTTTTTTATATTTGGATTTGTGGTAGAGTTGAAATGCAGTGAAAGAATACAGTGGCCTAGTGTATTTTTAGTGCCAAAAGAAAGTTTCCCTAATTTTTTGGATTCAGAAAGTCTCTGCAAAGTTTGAAGGTGAAGTAAATTTTTGGAAAAAGTAATGACGAATGAGTCACTTAATTTTCAAACAAACTAGAAGTGTATGAATCTGGATCCAATGACCTACTTTAGTGTACAATACTTAGTTAGATAAGAGCTCCTTCTTTCCATGAACATCATCTCCTCTGTTGAGCAGCATTTATCTTTTATTTTTTCATCTGTGGTTGTACCAGAAATGTAAAACAGCTGTGCTGAGCGGAGCATGTATTTCCATTTGTCTCTCCTATTGAGTTCTTGGAGAGATTGTGTTATGAGGTTTTAGGTCACAATAAGAAGGCCATGCACACACCATCACATGGAATTTGTCTGATGCACAAGAAATTATGTCATCCTACACACACACACACACACACACACACACACACACACACACACACACACACACACACACACACACACACACACACACACACACACACACACACACACACACACACACACTCACATTGTACAATTCCAAAATGTCTGGGGATTCCTAGACATGATCCCAGACATCAGCATCAAAGTTCACTTTTACTCCACGCGTCCTCCAGTGATGACCTCATCGCTGGGTCAGGTTTTAGTGAGTCACTCTCCGGCAATCTCACCGTCTCGCACAACGCACAGAGATGGAATGTAGCTTCAGACCAGAGGATGAAAACAAAAACACATGCTTGTAGCCGCACTCAGAGGAAAATGTCGTCGTTTTTCCTCTGTAATGTAGGTTACATTCCTGCTGACTGGACTTGCTAGAAGTACAACTGTTGCACTTAAAATCCTCCAGCACAGCAATAATCAGGCAGTTTGAATGGTTGTAAAAAGCAGGGAAGCATTTCTGGAAGATTTTATCATGGTTTGGTCGAGTTCAGGAGTACAGATGCACACACGCACTCACAGTCAGACCGCTTAAGACTGTCTAGACAAAGTGAGACGAACCCCAAATACTAAGCAGCAGCCTGCCAGATTTCCCTACTACAACCACTAAAGTCTGTCTGTAACGAGTCATACTGTGGGAGGGAGTGGGATACAAATGCCAACAGGAGACCCTTAAAATCTACACTGGCGGAGACAATGATGTGAATATGTGACAGCCATACAACACGAATGACTCACTCCTTTGGTCCAACATCTGTGTTAGTAATCAACTGTGTTAGTACATGTATGTAGGAAAGGAATACAACACCGGCTAGACAATGACTGAGGGTGAGATCATGAGCAGTCAGTGTAAGATTTTCTGTAACTCTCTCACTGCTTGTTGTGTCTGTGGTGTGTGTCACAGTGTATTTTGAATTGTTATTTCACATAGTGGCAGATTGAAATGGTTTAATTTTTTTGTTGATGTTTATAGAATTTGAAACTTGACTATGTTCTCTATAGAAAAACACTAGACAGGATTTAGAGGCAAGAATAAAGTTTAAATTCAATGTCCGGGAAAAAAATCATGATTTATTTTTTTTAGGAAAGTTAAAACACATTCTCAAGAAAAAACATTCAACTGTTACTACGTCTTTCATTTGTAGTATCTGTAAACAAACACTTGCTTTTGTGTCAATTTACTTGTAAATTGCATTAAATCAAACCATCATAGCACATCTCCCCAGTCTGTCACTCAACCCTCAACATTTAGTTTTTGAGATAACTCCACATGAACCAGAACAAATAATAATCATGTTTTTTTCATTACATTAACGTATCTACTTTATGAAATGAATGATTGCATACCAAAAAACAAAACTAGTCAAAACTAAGGCCTCAAAAAAAGGGAGAATTCCAGTCGTATCATATGTATCTCTGTAAAACAAGCTCTGACTGACTCCTAATTTAGGTCAGATATTCACAAAAATACTTACTGATTGCAATAAAGCAGAGTTATCATCAGTGCCATATCCCATCTGAAACGTACTCGCTTAAAGACACAAAGAATTGACAAAAATTGAGAGGAGAACTAAAAAAAAAAACCATTACTGAAAAACAAAGAGGTTTATCTACAAAATATGTCATTTAAATCCACTAGAGGAACAATCATTTCATAAATAATAATAATAATAATAATAATAATAATAACTTTATTTGTAAAGCACTTTTAAAAACCAAAGTTTACAAAGTGCTCTGACAGAGAGTAAAAAAGCAAAAGAGCTTCAGCACAAAAATAAAAACAAGAAGCACAAATCAAGCCTCAAAAACTGGAGACCAGTTTAATATCTCATAAAAAACCCAGACAATACAAGAACCATGCAACAAAAAATGAGACCATGAGGACCGAAATAAAATCTTAAAACAGAATCAGTAGGAAAAGAAAATGCAATAAAAAAGAGGGTTGAAAGCAGAAAACAGGATAGCTAATATGAAAAGATGATAATAATTACAATAGCATAAAAATAAAACAGTTATGATACTATAGTAATGATGAGATTCAATAACACAAATGAGCAAGAAATAGAACAATAAACAAAACATAAGGAGCCCATAGAGTTTATTTAAGAAAAGATTACAAGTGTAACAAAAACTAAAATAGACAGTAAAGCCAAAATAGAATAAATACATGAAGAAAAAGATAAAAGCAGGGTGTCTGATTTTCCATTACACTAGACCCTTACTGGAAACAAGTGCATATATTAGCACACTAGCTGTGTGTACATATGACAGAAAGGTATAGGATACTAAATGATCTTATTTTTTTACCATTTGTAAGATAACTCACCTACCACACTGCCACATCATGAACATGTGGACGATCCAGTAAAACAGCTCTTCACTATGATTAGACATAATGAATTGGAGCTAGGATTACTATGGAGTGTTATATTAAAGGGTGTTCCTGATATTGTGTCCACTTCAGTAACAAACATGAGAGGAACAAGTATAAAGAAGATTTTTCAATGTAAAGCACTTTGTCACACCACCACCACTCACTAAATTTCAGCAACAAATATGCACTAAAACAATCACCTGTCTGACCATGTCCATGAAAAACTTGAGAATGTAGAAGCTTCATTAAGTAGAATTTATAGTAGAACCCTTAAACGGATGAATATGATTGCTTAGATGTTCAAAATGTTGTGTCAGGTGAGTTAATTCATAATTGTTCAAATAAATCAGGTAAGCTGCTTATGAACACACTGAAAAAGCTTAGTTGCGCTTTTCACCACTAGAGGGCACTTGACAACTATCAATAGCTTAATCACAGCTTTCGCTTGACAAATAAACATTACAAATATTTTCTTTTACTTAAAAATTGATCTGTTTCTGTTAATTCAACCTTATACTTTCCTGTCTGGCCACTGACAGCAGAAGACCTTCAAAGCAGCAGACTGTCGAGATGGCAAAGATTAACCAACTGTGGCGAGCAGCAACCAGTAATTCTGTTTTCATCTTCTTTTTTTCTTTGTGTTTTTAGTTTCCACTTGCGGTCAGAGCATGCTAGACTTTTCTGCACCAGTTAGTTGCTAGTTTTATCAGCTGTTTGGTTAGCTTAAGTAAAGGAATTAAGGAATAATAGGAGAGGATAGAAACTACACAAAGGTGTCAGAAAAACGGTATAATCGGTTTATATTAATTCCTATGTGACTGTCTCATATTGGAAATTAGCATTTGACTGTACGTTAATCTTGAATAATCATTTTAAGTTTTCATATTTCATTCTAAAAAAAAAAAAACTCTTTGTTTTTTGTTCTTTGTGATTCTTTGGCCACCGTGCTCTCTGTCAGGTCTCATAAGACAGCATATCATGGCAGTCTAATGTCACAGGGGTGGCGACTGTTCACTTTACATCTGGGTCCAAAGGTGTGCTGATGTGCTGAGTCAGGCCCTTTTATAAAGCAGAGAACAAGGTGTCATTGAGCATCTGCATGAATATAAAAAGGGTGCCGCCATGATGTTGATGTACATGTACTGCTCTCAGAGGTAAGGCAGAACAGTCTTAGCATTCTTTGATTAGCACTTACTTTGACTGAAACAGCAGCCCCAGTGATTGTTATTCTGATTACTGATGGCAGCATTTGTGCAAATGATTGATGGAGAGAGGCTGCCAGCATTCCACACTCTAATGCAACGCACTTTATTTATGTTACCTAACTAAGTCTGATTTTTTAAAATTATGTAACTTTGTTCATGTTTTCAGTTTTTTGTTTGTTTGTTTGTTTTTTTGGTTTAATTATACACCATACAATTGATCATTTCCCACTGGTTAGATTTACGTATTCAAGGAGCACCAATATAACATAGAAAATTAGTTATTCAGCTCAGAATCAGAATCAGAATCTCTTTATTTTCCCAGAAGGAAAATTAGTGTTGCAGCAGGAGCACACACATGACAGGGTACACATTGATAATGCAGTAAGAATAGACTAAAAGTCAACATGATAAAAAGAAAAACATCATAATAAAGGAAACACCATATATACAAGATCACTAAAAAATTATGTTCAGTCCAAAGCTAATACCAAAACTGGAAAATAACCCCTTTAATAAGCTGTGAAAAATGCAAAATACAGATGTGCAAAAATGCAAAAGTGCAAAGAAGAACATGGGCAACCTAAGGCCTAATTGCCATTAAGTGAATGAATAGCCCTGGGGATAAATGAGATCTGAAATCTCTTAGTCCTCCTCATAGCTCATAGGAGCCCTGAAAGGATGACCTGAGGGCAAAAGCTCAAATTTGTAGTGCAAGTGGGTGGTTAGGACAATCCAGGATAGCATTAGCCTTCTTCATGACCTGTCTGTTATAGATAAACTTAACCCTGACCTGCTGACTTCATGAGATTTTTTCTGCTGTTTTAACAAGGCTCCCAAAATGATTACTGTTGGACCAGTTAAGGTTCCCAAACCATGCAGCTATACAAAAGGTTAAAACAGATTCAACAAAACTTCTAAAAAAAAGGGAGTCATCATCTCAGACGAAAAATGAAAGGTTCTCTTCCTCAAAAAGAATAATGTTTGCTGAACCAGCTCCTCTTTGCATGGAATTTTGGAGAAAACCACATCAGGCCTTTTCCCACTTTCCTTAAACTTTAACTGCCATACCCCCCATCCCTGTTTTCCTGAAAGTGCTTCAACTCATAATAATGAGGAGATTGGCTTTTGAAATCATTGCAGTGTTGGCAGATGTGACAGGGAAAGTGTCAAACAACCCAGAACACAAAAAAACTTTGCTTTTTGGAAAGAGTTCAATTAAAAACAGACAGAGACAGAGAGAGTAGATACCAAGGCCAGAGGTTAATGTTGGCTTTCTGATTTCGAAAAGTACCCTGATAATGTCCAGCTTCCCTCCCTATCCCTAACACAGACATGATGCAGATCTGTGCTTACACATGCAGTATAATTATACCATGAGCTCACACACACAATGTGCATGTTTGAATTCACACATATACACACACTTGTAGCACTGGCCAGGTTAGTACTGGTCTCCTCATGCAGAGTCTAGACAGGAAGCGGGTCCATGCCAGATAAGGGATTTTCTCCCTCACACCCTTAGACTAGTACACACACCTACACAGACATGCACACACTGCTGACAGCCATCTTCTTTCAGTGTGTCTGTGTGTATTCTGTGTTTGGATGTGTGTCAGACAGAGGGAAAAAGAGAAAGAAAGGAGCTAAAAACAAAGACTTGGTGACAGATTCCTGTATATTTATGCGTGTAGATTTTTGTGTTTGTGCTTGTCAGCCTTTGTTTGAACAACCCCTCACACAAAATAAAAAATAAACTCAGCCACAAAGAAACACACTTTATATGAGAACCTTGTTTCTTTTTTCCTTTTTTTTTTTTTTTTTTTACTGTGTAACTCATTTTTCTCTGACTTTCTGCCCTGTTGAAGTGATGAGTCTGAGGCACTGTGTGAAAAGTTCAACTCGTCCTTCCCGGGTACAGAAGCATAGTGCGTCCTGTAGCCCTTAGCTAAATTAAACCGAGCCCCTACTGTTCTCATCTGCTTACCTGT